TTTTTGACACCGCACTGTCACCACCCTGAGTTCAGTCACTATCATATCTTACCTGGATTACTGCAGTAACCACTTACTGGTCTCCCTGCTTCTACCCTTACCCTCCTATACTGGATTCTCAACACAGCAGCCAGACTGAACTTTTAAAAATGTTAAGTCAGATCATGTCATTCTTTTGCTGAAAACCTACTTCACTCAGAGTAAAAGCCAAAATCCTCATAATGTCCTGTAAGGCCCTACTCATAGCACTTAACACTTTCTAACACGCTGTATGACTTATTTATTTGTCATGTTGTCTGTTGCCTACCTCCCCACATATATAGACTATAAGTTTGGCAAAGAGAAGAATTTTTGTTTGTTTTTTTCCCTGATGTATCCCAAGTACCTAGAACAATGCCTGGCACATAATAAGCACTCAATAAAGATTTTTTGAATGAATGAATGAAAAGTGGCTAATTAATAGTGATACAATAAAGTTATTAATAATGAATCTTTGAGTCAAATAACATGTTAAAATACATAAAGCAAGAGCTGTTAAAAATAAAAGGAAAAATGGATAAAACCGCAATCGTAATAGGAAACTAGCATGCCTCTAATTTGTCAATTTAAGTAGACATAACAAGGTTATTGGATTTCAGAATGTTATAATTAGTAAATTTGATTAATATTAAATTTGATACCTTGGATTAGGATTTTTTTTTACAAATATACACAAAATAGGATAAAAGATGGTAAGTTATGCCACTGAAAACCTCAGTAAGTTCTAGAAAGAAAAATTGTATAAACTGCATCCTCTGATCACAAAGCAATAATGCACAAATTAATGGGGAAAGAGGAGATTTGACCCAAGTATTGTGGAAACACAAAAGGAAACTAAATAGTGGGGTATGTACCATTTACACTGTACTGGCCTTGGAATACACAGTTCTTGTCCTGTGAGTTCACAGTCCTTGGTGGAATCAAACATGTAAATCAATTTTGCAATAGAATAAGAAGGATGCACAGATAGAGGTAAGCATATGATGCAATGGGATCATCCCGTAGAGACCGACACGCCTTCACCTTTACAGAGGAGGAGAAGACTAGGCTGAGTCCTCCAGTGCAAGGAGGGCCTGGTCAGATGAAGGAGTCTAGAAACAGAGAGGCCTCTTGTCCAAAGGCAGAGAGAGGGGTGAGAGCCTGTGCAGCCTTCTGGGATCTCGGCTGGTTTAATATGGCAAGCAAGCAGGGTGAGAGCTAGGGAGTAGCCAGTTGGAGATGCTACTTTTAGCAGTAAAATGTGTAGCATTTGGGGACTACCTGAATGGGACAACTGAAGCATGTGTGTGAAAAGGGGTAAAGATACCAGACTCCTGCTCCCTTAGGGATGGAGGAAATGATAGATGTGCATGTAGATAGTTTTTCAGCTGGGAGAGGAGACATAAAATTGAAGAAGCTCCTCGTCCCCCAATTACTTCTGTTTCTTTCTGTACATTTTTGCAGAGATTAGAGATGAAATGAGGTAGGGGGTTGGGAAACAGGAAGAAAAAATGATAAGGGATAATAGAAGGATTGCCCAGCAGTGTTGAGATCCAAGTGAAATTAGAGACCGTGTATCTGTAGTGACCCCATTCATTGCCACTGTGTGATTTTCTCCAAATGGGCATCATCCTGTGTGTATAAAAGAGTGAAGGTAGATAGTTGGATTGATTGGAATTTTCCAGATGGATGCACTGGAAGGACCAGGGAGTAAGAGAAAAGGAGAGTGGGGGGTTAGCAAGAGGGGGGTTGAATTAATGCATTCTAGAGTCTAGCCTAGGCTGGAAGTTTCCCAAGGTCATGGACCTTGTCTATTTTGTTTGTTTCTGGGCTCATTATTATTACAATGAATAATCTAGAACATAGAAGTAGAAAGGGAAGAGACTGATAGTTTGGTTGGGGGGGAAAGGAGTTGTCCTAAGACGAGAATTTCCAGCAAGAGCAAAGAACAGGTATAATGGGAATTAGAAGTGAGGAACTGGAAGATTTGGGGGTAGTAGTCTGGAGTGTCACCACGGAGGTGACTTCTGAACTGGGTTAGATGGTTTTTAGTTTAATTGGAGAAAGAAGCCTAATACCTATAACACTGCAAAACAGTATGATAGTGCTCCGGGAAAAAGAGGAAGGAAAGATAATTTGGGGCTGGAGTGATCACTTCACAGAATTGGGCCTTGAAGGATGAGTAAGGTGGTCAGCAGAGAGGCGGAGGGATGATGGAGGGGCATTTCTAAGGGGGTAAAGCAGGGCAGCGGTGGGGAAACCATGTGAATACAGGAAAAGTCAAGACCTGTTCAGAGGGTTCTGGAATGGAGGGTTTGTCTGGAGCTGACAGTTTGCGTAGAAGAGTTATGAAGAGGAAGATTAATAATACAGGTTAGGGCCAGGTGATGAGAACGTTGAAGGTCGGCTTAGGGTTTATCTTATAGGCAGCAGAGACTGATGAAGGTTTTTGACAAATAAGTGAAATAACCTGCAGCTGGTGGTGCCCTGGATGTATTGAAGAGGGAAAGCTATCGTATCATTTGGGAAATATTGGTGGAAACAAAGTGATGGGGTCCTGAATTAGTGTCTTGTGTTCAGGATGGAAAGGGAGAGATGGATGCAAGAGAAATGATACAGAGAAGGAGGAATCAGGACCTGGTGGTTAGAAAGGGGACCTGAGGAAGGAGAGGAGCTGTCAGAGCAGAAAAGAGGGAGTTGGCAGAAACAGAGAACCTAGTCAGGAAAAGAGGCTCAGGAGGAAATTTTTGGATGACTCAGTAAGGGTCAGTGAAATTGGCCACTTGGAGGTCATAGAGACTTAGACCAAAATTTTATCAGTGGAAGGAGAGATGAAAAGTGATGGTGGTGGCTGCAGAGAAGTGTGGAGGTTCTTGGTTCTCTTTTTAAGCAACAACTTCATCAAGATATAATTCACAGACCATGCAATCCACCTATTTAAAGTTTACAATTCAGTGGTATTTAGTGTATTCAGAGTTGTGTGACCATCACCACCATCAATTTTATATTTTCATCACCCCTGAAAGAAACCTCTTACCCATTAGTAGTCACTCTCCAATCCCCCTATCCTCACCAGCCCTAGGTAACCACTAATCAGCTTTCTGGCTTTATAGATGTCCTATTCTGGACATTTCAAATACGTGTAATCACATAATGCGTGGTCTTCTATGACTGGCTTCTTTCATTTAGGACTGTGTTTTCAGGGTTTATTCATGTTGAAGCATGTATCAGTACTTCATCGCTTTTTTAATTGCCAAATAATATTCTACTGAATGGGATATCACATTTTGTTTATCCATTCACCAATTGTTGGACATTTGGGTTATATCCACTTTTTGACTCTTACAAATAATGCTGCTGTGGACATTTGTGTACAAGTTTTGTGTGGACGTACATTTTGGTTTTGACATAGAGGTCCTGGCTATGTTTAGATGCAGAGGGAAGGAAGGCAACTGGTAAGGAACAAGGACCACGGGAAATTCTGGAGAGCAGGGGGCTTCCTGGAGAGAGAGCAGACCTGAAAGAGGTGAAAAGGAATAGAAGGAGGAGAAGGGGGAAAATTCCCCTTGGAAGTGGTGAGAGTATCTCTACTTCTACAACAGGAGTGAAGGATGAGTGGGAATTTCTTTTTCTATGAATGAAAATACTTTGAAAATATATTTTCTGATTATAAAAGTAATACAAGGAAGGCTGTATAAAGAGAGGCTAAGAGTGTGGGTTGTCAAATCAGGCTCCTTAGGTTCGAATTCTGATGCTGCTGCTTACTAGTTGTGGAACCTTGGGCATGTTAACCTATCCAGGCTTCAGTTTCTTCATTTTTAAAATGGAGTTGAGACAAGTACTTACCTTACTAGGCTATTATGAAGATTAAAGAAATGATACCTGTGCAGCTGTATTAGTTACCTACTGCTGTGTAACAAATTACCCCAAATGACAAACTCTATGTCACAGTTTCTGAGGGGCAGGAATCTGGGTGTAGCTTAGCTGGGGGCCTATGGCTTAGGAGCTCTCATGAGGTTGTAGTTGAGCTATTGGTGGGAGCTGTAGTCATCCCAGCACTTGACTGGGGCTGGAGGACCCACTGCCAAGCTCACTCACATGGTTCTTGGCCGGCCTCAGTTCCTTGTGAAGGCCACTTTCTTGCCACCTGTGTCTCTCCATTGCACTGCTCACAACATGGCAGCCTGCTTCTTCCAGACTCGTGATCCAAGGAGGGTACCAGAGTGCCCACTGTGGCAGAAGCCACAGTCTTTTATAACCTAATTTCAGAAGTAACATCCCGTCCCCCTGCTCCCACAGACCAGCACAGTGTAGCGGACCAGGGTGTGGATGCCAGGAGGCTGGGTCATTGGCGACCACCTTGGCTACCACACAGTTCTTAATAATAAGCCCTTAATAACTACAGTTGGCCCTTGAACCACACGGATTTGACCTGCATGGGTCCACTTATACATGGATTTTTTTTTTGATAGTAAATACTACAGTGCTACATGGTCCACAGATACTGAAGGCTGACTATTTATTTGCAGATGTTCTCCTGCGAGGAGGGTCAGCACCCTTAACCCCCAGGTTGTTCAGTGGTCAACTGTATTCATAGTGGAAATATTAAGATATTATAAAAGTGGGGCTTCCCTGGTGGCTCAGTGGTTAAGAACCCCCCTGCCAATGCAGGGGACACAGGTTCGAGCCCTGGTCCAGGAAGATCCCACAGGCCGTGAAGCAACTAAGCTTGTGAGCCACAACTACTGAAGCCCACATGCCACAACTACTGAAGCCCACGTGCCTAGAGCCCATGCTCCACAACAAGAGAAGCCACTGCAATGAGAAGCCCACAGACTGTAACGAAGAGTAGCCCTCACTTGCCGCAACTAGAGAAAGCCCGCATGCAGCAACGAAGACCCAACGCAGCCAAAAATAAAAACAAATAAATAAATTTATGTTTTTTAAAAAGATATTATAAAAATGTATATAGAAGAGGGAATTCCCTGGTGGTCCAGTGGTTAGGACGCGGCGTTTACACTGCCGTGGCCTGGGTTCAATCCCTGGTCGGGGAACTAAGATCCCCCAAGCTGAGTGGTGCCACCAAAACAAAAACAAAAACAAAAAAAGTATAAAGAAGAAAGTAAAAGTCACTCACAGTCCACCATTTAGATAGAATTGGCATTTCTAAAATGACTTTTTCCCTAAGGAGGGCTACTAGTAATAGGACCATGATTTCTAAAAATTCCTTCCACATCTACGAGAGAAAGCTTATTAATTACTGAAATATTAACTTAGGAAAATGAACATTTGAGATCCTTTTATCTCTCACATTTGGAGTCTGCACATCACACTTGTTTATCCTTCTATTCAGCATTGTGATAATTCTGAATTTGGGGCATCACATACCCTGTCTCTGTCATCAGTAAGATTGTGATTTTCCTATAAGATCAAATAGAAATAGGTCATGGATGAAAAGAACACCCTCACCGGACTCCCTGCCAACTGGCTGGTCCAGCTGAAAACCAGCACCTCTAAGAATTGATGTTACAAAAACAGCTCCTCTCTGTTGTCTTCTGTCATTTCTCCCCTACTTTATGTTCCGTGAATAGCAGCTGTTCAGGGTATTGCCGAGTGAGCACAGGGGTGCTGCAATCAGAAATGTGACTGAGCGACACAGCAGGAGAAGGCTGGGGCCGAGGGAGGTGTGTTCTGGTGATACAGTGAGTAAGTGGGAGACATGACAAACAGCCAGACAGCAGTACGATGGCCCACTGGGAAGCATGTGAAAGATTATCAATTACGTCGATTAAAAAAAAGAAAGCCCCCAGAAGTCTCTTTCACCAGAAGAGAAAAATCACAGCTGCTGAGAGTCTTGTCAAGTCTCTTAGGTGGATTGGTGCTTCGTGCTAGCTTCTTTTATAAAAGTCAGATTAATTTTCTAATACTGTTTTCTACTTTAATGTTATGGCTTTAATCATTAGACTATCACCAATTCCTTCAGGCAATAGGAAGCGATTGAAGATTTAATGAGATTCATATTGCTTGTCCTTAAATGTTGATGACTTCCTTCATGCATATTAATCATTCCTGACCTTGATCTTAAATTCCTTCCCAGCACAGATTCTCATCAAGCATACCTACTAGATCCCTCAGTGTTCACCAGGCACCTGGTTTGTTTCCAACAGGACATTAACTCTAATGTTCAGTGTACATCAGATTTTTCAGTACCCTTGTCTGATTTGTCTTCTAGTTCTTACTATGATTATAAATCTGGAAAATTTAGGGGGAGAAAAATCAGCAACCCTGAAGAGGGGATTTAGCCTAGTTTAAAAGACTGTCCTGTTCAGCAGACCTTGAACATGCCTTAATTGCTTGTCTAGGTCAGTATGTCCAACTGGCAACTCTCAGACCCCATCCAGGCCACAGAGTGTTCTGGGTGGCTGAAGTGTGTGTGCTCCGGCTGGCGATCAGCAGGACTCGGCCTTTGTCCCCTGCTTTGGCGGCCCCAGCCTTTAGTTCAGGCCTACCCCCTCCTGCCACAGGGGCCTGGGAAACCCTGGCTGACCACCTGGTCTCCTCATGCCCAGCATCCGTGCATCTGCATCCCCACCCTTGCCCCAATTATCTCCTCAGCCACCTTGGCAGATTTTCTAACCAACAGTCCTTGCCCGAACCAGGACCCAGGAAAGGAGTCGTTGGAGTGTGTGAGAGGAGAGAGGAGAGGGCTGAGGAGTCGGGGTGGTGGGGGGGAGATGAAAGTGAGAGCGAACGGGTGTGGGGGAAAGAGGGAGAAAGGATCACATCAGTTGAAGAGAAAATAAATATGTAAGACCTGGAGGGTGAGGGAGTCTGTATACAAGGAGACAGAACGAGTAGGAAGAACTAGGTAAAGAGGTGAAAGAGCTTGCTTACGGTGATGCTGAGATGAGGACCAAAAGAGGTAAATTTGCGTGTGAAAGAGGCCACCTGTGAGAGAATGGGAAGAGAAAATGGAGAGAGCAAAACAGCTCTGCTCCATAGAACCTGACCAGGCGCATCACTGGGAAACACGGTCTAACAAAGCATTTTTTCAGATTTGTGAATATGTTTTTGTTTTTTGTTTGTTTGTTTGTTTTGCGGTACGCGGGCCTCTCACTGTTGTGGCCTCTCCCGTTGCGGAGCACAGGCTCCGGACGCGCAGGCTCAGTGGCCATGGCTCACAGGCCCAGCCGCTCCGCGACATGTGGGATCTTCCCGGACTGGGGCACGAACCCGTGTCCCCTGCATTGGCAGGCGGACTCTCAACCACTGCACCACCAGGGAAGCCCGTGAATATGTTTATAACAAAAAAGTATTGTTATAGAAAAGTTAAACCGCAAACAGACCCTTAGAAGATTACATTACATTAAGGTTATTTTAGGATGTCCCAAATGCTTGCTGGCATGTTGATTGTCTTAAATGTGGCTCATCCCAACCAAGAAGTTGGACAGTATCAAGTTTGATGATGTTAAGTGCGTACCATTTTTAAAAAACAAATAAATGGAGTGCTTTTTCCATACAAATGGAAGCTTTTCATCTTCTTAAGTAATCATCTGTTGATATCGTTTAACTGAATAAGTAGGAAGATATCCATTTTGTGAAGTAGGTTTCTCATATGTAATGATCAAAATCTTTCTCTTTTAAAGATAACTTTTAAAATATAGTCAGAAATTTTCATACCTTTTAACTCAATTATTTAATTCCACTTCAACAAGTCTATATTCAGAAAATAACTAGAGATGCTGGCAAAGATTTCATTTTAAGGATGTCTATTACAGTATTAATCATATTAGCGAAGAACTGGAAACTCCCTAAATGTCTAAAAAAATAGAGGAATGATTAAATTATGATACATCTGTAAGATGAGAGAGTCTATTATATAGTCGCTAAACTACTTCTAATTCATCTCCACACTACACTCAGGTGGCTTTTTAAGTAGCACATTGGATCATTTCACTTCCTCTTAAACCTCTCCTTGGCTTCCCATTGCACTCACCATGAAAATCCTGACCTCCAAGGCTTTGTCTTATCACCCCAACTCTCCAGTCCCTCCATTTCTGTCTACTGGCCTGCTTTTCAGGTGCTCTCATTCCCTAAGCCCTTTCCTCCCCAGGACCTTTGCACATGAACTTCTCTTCCCCAGCTGTTGTCTGGCTAAGTCCTGCTTGTTCTTGAGGTCTTAGCTTCATCAAAGGGATTTCCTGACCCTCTTTACCACCCCTGTACTCCACCCCCCAGTATACTCACTCATTGTGACCTAGGCTTCTCTTTCATAATACATACCACATTTTAAAATCATATGTTCATTTGTGTGGTTGTTCTTTTAATGCCCAGGTCCCCTCTGAACTTTGTCATTTTGTTCTCCTTTCTGAGAGAGATCCTCAAGTTTATTCTCTGCCCCTTCTATTGAAGTTTTCCTTTCTGTTGTCATATTTTTAATCTCCCAGAGTCTGTTTTGTTCCCTTAAAGTTTTGTTTAAAAATAGTATTCTGTTCTTGTTTCATGGTTGCAACATGGTTTCTTGAGTATATTATTAATATACTCACCATGGTTTCTTGAGTACATTATTAATAATTTTCTAGAAATTTTCTTCTCTATATATTGTTTCCTCAGAGGTTTTTGTTTTTGTTTTTGTTTTTTGGTATTTATATTTTATATAAGAGACTTTCTCAGACATCTGGAAATCCATGGTTGCTTGCTTCTGTATAAGAATGGGGGATTTAGGGGCTTCCCTGGTGGCGCAATGGTTGAGAGTCCGCCTGCCGATGCAGGGGACATGGGTTCGTGCCCCAGTCTGGGAAGATCCCACATGCCACGGAGTGGCTGGGCCTGTGAGCCATGGCCGCTGAGCCTGCGCATCCGGAGCCTGTTCTCTGCAACGGGAGAGGCCACAACAGTGAGAGACCCACGTACCGCCAAAAAAAAAAAAAAGAATGGGGGATTTAAAAATCTGAGTGGGCTCGTGAAAGACAAGGAAAGACTGAGAAACTGTCAGAGACTGTAGAAGACTAAAAAGACTTAACTAATTACATTGTGGAATCCTGGATTTGGAGGCTGGCCCAGAAAAAAGGACATTAGTAGAAAAAATGGTGAAATTCAAATAAGATCCATACTTCAGTTCATATTAATCTACTAATACTAATTTCCTGTTTTGGATGGTAAAACTCTGGTTATGTACAATGTTAACGTTAGGGTAAGCTGATTGAAGGATGTGTAGGAACTTTTTGTACCGCTGTTTCCCTTTGTACTATTTTCAAAATAGAAAATAAAAACAAGACAAACTGAGTGGAAGCTCTGAGCAAGGAATGGGGACAAGCTGCTGTGGGTCAGCTCAGCCATGGGGTGACCTGATGGGGCCATTGAATGAGAAAGTGAGAGAGATGATAAGCAGGGAGGAACAGGTTCAAAGCAGCATGGCATAAAGATCGCCCAGGCTTCAGGGAGGAGAATGATTTGGAGGAGGACTTTAGAAACTGAGAGAACAGTAGGGAAGCATTTGTAACCATTTGGGGCAAAAAATGACAGTGGCTTGGACCAGGGTCGTGGGCGTGGAGAGAAGTGAATGGTTTTAGGAGCTGTTGGTGAGGTAGACTCACAGAATGGTTGTTGCTTGGATTTGGGGATGGGGCTGATGGAAAAGGATGAGTGGTCGGGGACCCCCTGATTCCCAGGTTCTGGTTTAGGCAATTGAGTGGATTATGGTACCATTCATAGCGAACACTGGAGGGAGGACAAGGTTTGGAAGAGAATATGATCAATTTAACATGGAGAGTGTTAAGTGTGAAGTGCCCAGAGAGAGCCAAATTGAGATTTCCAGTAAGCAGAGGAGATGAACAGGTTGGGAGAGTTTGGGGAAGGGTCTCGGCTAGAGATGCAGATTTGGAAGTCATGAACATGTGGTGGCTATGTGACGGAACATATGTAAGCTCCCTAGGGGAAGGTAGTAGCTTAAGAAGAGGAGTAAGGACAGAACCCTAAGAAAAACTGATATATAAGGAGTAATCAGGGAAGGGAAGCCTACAAAAGAGGCTGAGGAGTAGCTAGAGAAGTAGGA